ACAGCTGCTGCAGGACAACAGCCATTGCCAGAGGGAAAGCCAGATATCTTAGACACCTGTCTGGAGATGAGATGGTTCCAAAGCATTTTGTCCCGACAGTTTATACTATGCCCAGTGTTGTGGCAGAACTTCCCTACCCCAGGGAGGGGTAGAAGGTGCTTCCCTTCTTTAAGAGAAGAAGGTGCTGGGGAGTACCAGAGTTCTGAGCATAAAGGCAGAAAGACCAAAAAAATCCATCCTGCCTTCACTACACTGCATATCAGTCCCTTTCACCCAAGCCATCTTCATAGTAAGCCAAATATTTTAAACTAAACCTGCAATGCTATAGAGACATTTCCTCTAAAATCTGGAAAAGGACATAGAAATTCTAAGAGCTCCTCCTTACCCCAAACCTGCTGATCAAAACTTTCTTCCTCTAGATGTGGCAGTCAAGTCACCCCCTCATCAGCCTTCATCCCAATTAACCAAATTGCACTCCTCACGCCTGGAGTCAAAGCAAACCCAAGTCATCTGTGGCTTTCCATGAATGCCTCCTGGCACTTCTCCTCCCTTCTTCAAGTACAGACAGCAGGCAGCGTGTCCCCCTTTAAAAGGACAAAGTCACGAGTCACATCCCTGCTCCTACTTGCTCTCCAGAGTTGCAGGGTTCCGTTCTCTCTCACAGCTCCATCAGGAGCTCGCTCTCACATGATCACACACGAGGATCCCACGGACTCTCTCCCTGACACTGCTCCCCAGATGGGCTCACACACACTTCAGACAGAACCTGAATTCTTTGCTCCCAACTACACATGTTCAACTACCATAGATAAGTGTGGGTTGTTTGGTTTGGTTTTTGTTCACACTGTGCTATTTAATCAGATACCAGCCTACAAGGGCTGATTATATCCTTACTACTAAAGAGTGCGAGGTGATATTCCCAGACACTGCCTTGCTGCAGGATCCCATGGCACACAATTCCCATGGGCTATGCTGCAGTGCTGAGTCGGTCCTCAGGTGTTTGTTAAATCAGGGCTGGCATAAGGCACCATCCATTCCTGTGGTCACAGGAGGCCCATAATAACCAAGGTAGACTTGCTTTGGCCACCCATACTGAAATTTAAATAACAAGCCCAATTTCATCCTCCTTCTGGAACAATTCGAAAGCAACACAGCATGATGAAAGGACAAGAGAACAGATGGGTTTTGTTGTCTGCATGCTACCACGGCAAACTTTTCATGGAAACTCAAACCCCCTCCAGAACACCCTGACTATGTGATTCATAAATTCTAAGAGTGGAGAGAAACCAGCAAAATTATTTTGTCTGTCCGTCTGCCTAATAAAGACCACAGAATTTCATACAGTGATTTCTGCCCAAAGCCCAGCAATTTGTGGTTCAAACAGAGTATCTCAAGCAGCCCACTGTCCAGCTTTGATGTGAGGATGTCCAATGAGGCGCTAACCACTTCCCATGCTGTCAAAATCTGGCTCTTCTACAGGTTGCCTGCATCTCTTCACCACTGCATAACTTTTGTAGCCTTCCCAAAGACATTAATACTTTTAAGCACTTTTGCCATCTCTATCGAAAATCTCAAACCATCAAAAATAAGGAAAAACATATGCTAAGGCACAAAACACTAAGCAAATACACAGAAAAATAAGAAAAACAGAGAATCTCTATGTACGCTTCTGCTGTGATTAAATGGATGAAATCTATATTAAAATGCAAGGTCCACTAATTTTCCCACTCCAGATAACACAGTGGAAAAATTCTCTGGTACAAAACAAAACAAAAAAATTCCAAATGTACACCCGTGTGACTGTAGGGAAAGCACATTTGTTTGGTTACAAAAGTAGTTTTTCCTGCCACTTATAAAGCTTGCCACAGTTTCACAGCAATAAATATTACCACAGCAGAGACCTTGAGTGGACAGAACAAAATCCACTTCAAAACCAACTCCTGAAAGATCGGCTGAGTAAAAAGACAGCTCACCGCTGAACATCCCCTTCTGACTTTTTGTCTCCAAAATTCTGTGGTTGGTAGCACTGATGGGGAAAGAAATTTTTTTTTTCCCAAACCCAAAATGGCAGCAGTCCAGAAGGCTGGAAGACCACACTTGTCTAAGATGAAAAATATGTATGTTGAGCACAGAATTAACACAAGCACTTCTTCCTTGTATCCTGGAAGGAATACAAGGTGATTAAGTTCCTCCACCCACAGACCCAAAACAGCCCAGACAACAGCCCTGAGACTTCCCAGTAACAACAGCCTGTGTTGGAGGATGGGAGGGGGCTTCAGGAACCATCTCCTAAATCCACTCCAGTTCCTGTTCACCACTAAGTAACCATATTCACATTTAATAAAACCAGGCCAGAAGGTTCATTCCAACAGTGTCTCTTCTACTGCCAATTTCAAAGAGATGCTTTCTCACCCTCTGTCTGCATTGCCCCAGTCAAACTTGGGCTTGGAAAACAAATTCTCAGGATGGATATCTATGGTCCCGTGGCTCAGACTCTGCTGGGATGAACCTGGCCCCATTTTCTGCTCCCCCCCTTGAATGATTAGTGTCACCTTCAGAGCAGGTAAAGGTGTAGCTCCCGCTCATGAAGGTGGTCAGTGTGCTGCTAATAAAGGTACTGAGTGTATATGTAGGGTGTCTCGGGGAGGCTGAGGCACACACTTAATGGCACATTGTTACAGCCATACCTTTTGTGAGGTGATAGCAGGAACACCTCTGGCTGTGGCTTTCCCAGCTGTCCAGGAGGTCCTGCTACTACACCAGAGGACTATGGCAACAGGAGCAGTATCCATGTGGAGAAGAACAGGACATTGTAGGCTTATGAATTAGACACTCATCTAACAGGGCAGGTGTACACAAACCACCTAATGTACATGTTAAACTTCAGATTGTTTTAAGGCAGAGCAAAGGTGCTCTCCTTTAAGATTTCAGGCATCACAACTTTGTGCATTGAAATTCTTACATCAATTAAAACTCTGTGTTAATGTGTGTGGGTGCAATCCAAGCCTGCACAACCTCTGTGAAACAAAAGTGCACCTGAAGCAGGAACAGCTGGGCCCCATTTCTGTACACACAGACCTGCAGCAATTATCACTAAAGATGCTGTACGGCCACACAACTGCGCTGATTGAAAGAATTCAGACTTAACAGCTGAAAAGCCATTGCTTCTGAAAAAGCCAAAAGCACTGTTTTTTGAGGTCCTGGGTAACCAACAGTTAAAGCTCTGATTTCAAATTATCCACCCTGAAGTGATCATAGCAGGTAAAAGTAGTAATCCTCACCGCGCAACAGTGCAGAAGATGGAGTGAAACCCCACAGCCAGTTTAAGTATAAGCCTCGCAGTTTCCATTACTGCTACTGTAATGATTTTGCAACTCTTATTTATTTTTCACCATTTCAGCTGCTAGTTTGTGGTAAATATTTGGGGGAAAAGAAATAAAAAGAACCCAAAACCCCAGAGACTGCCCATCCTTGACAGGAACAGTCCTGGCATGCCTGGAATGTGTAAAACCACAAAAGAGACATTTCTGTTCATATTACTCCTTATGAAATCCCCTTTTAAAGAAGACTCAGCACTGGAGCTTTAGGCACTCAACAGAGCCCCTATAGGATTGCCTTTTACTTTGAAATGTGACTTATCAGCCAAAGCCCAGGCGGGTTTGGGTATCTGACTGTTGTGCCCTTTGCTTTGAACTCCAGGACCGTTATGTGCACGGCTGCCAAACTGGTCAAGCCATTTTCCTCCCCTCCTTTGTTCCCAGGTTCAGGATAGATAAAAGCTGCACCAGGCTTGCTGCCTCACCAATGCTAATTTGACTGTTAATTTTACATTTAAGGGGAAAAAAAAAATAAAACCCAACACCACACACAGTGATTATCACTGTTACCCACACAAAGGCCAGAACAACCACAGTATGATTCAACAGGACCTGGGCTGCAGTGGCTATCTCTGGACACGCACGAGAATGTTCTTTGGCAATGCCATTCTGAAGCTCTCTGACACATCCTTTTCTGTTTCTGAGTCTTTTTTTCACCCTCACAGCCTGTTATAACATCAGCAGGGTGGCAGCCTGGTGAGAGCAAGGCTTTGACCAGCCCCATCCACTTATAGGGACACCTGTAGGGCACGGGCTGAGCAGATGCCCAGGGAAGTTGATCATGCCCAACCCCTGGAAGTGTTCAAGGCCAGGTTGGAAGGGGCCCTGGACAACCTGGTCTGATAGAAGGTCTCCCTGCCCATGGCAAGGGAGTTCAGCTAGATGATCTTTACAGTCCCTTCCAACCCAAACCAGTCTGTGATTCTGTGTGAGTTTGCTTTGCTGGAGCAATGAGGCGATCAACTCGTGTTACTGCATTAGTGCAGCGCTGCCCACACCGTCTCTCAAGGTGCCTCAGGTCAAATCCTGCTCCTGTTTAAGTTCCTAGGTAAATTTTTTGCTGGCTTCTTTTTTTGCTTTTTATCTTTCTCTTTGTTTTTTGGTTTTTTTTTTTATTCCTGAGATTTCTGTGATCACCTTTCCAGTAGATCATCACTACAGGCACATGGCAATCTGGTATGAGGCTCATGTCTGGCTTGAACTTAAGAAAGCACCAGATCAATCCAAGATCAAGCTGAAACACAGGGACTGTTAACCCAAATTTCCAGCACATACTGCCTTTTGTTTGTGCAGACTGACATGGAACCCTTCAAAATGCAAGCACTGTAGTTCATAAGCAAGAGGTCTGGCAGGACAAATATTAAAGACTGTAAGAAAGCACAGGCAAAGAAGTATCTGGTACAGAACTGAAAAAACAAAAGATAAATGATAAGCAGAAATTCCCCAGTGGGCTGAGTTTATCAGTGTGATTGCTTTCAGGACTTTTTTCTTGTTGTACCACCTTGATTTGCATACAAAGCATCTCTAACAGGAAATAGCATCTGTCCTGGAGGAAAAAAAAAAAAACAAAAAAAAACCAAAAAAAACCAAGAAGGATAAGGATTTTTGCTGCCAAGAGTAAAATGTCTTTTGGCACCATATGACGTGCCAGAAAGCCCCTCTCCTCACAAAAGCAGTGGCACATCGCAGCTCTTCTTCACTCCTTGCTCTGCATCCCATCCCAGGGGCAGCAGCGCATAATACAGCTCCTCAGGAGAGCTTCCATACTTAGAAAATCTGAAAATGAAAGAAAAAACAAGCAGGTGAGTTGATTTGCATTCCAGATTCACAATTAACACTGCACTAAATTAGTTTGTAGGAAGTGGAAGAGCAAAAAGGAAAACCGCCAACTTGAAAATGCAAATCTTCACCCTACTACAATCACAAGCCACAGCCAGGATTCCTACAGGCTAGGAAGGCACCAGTAAGAACCCATTTTTCACTACTTTTGCAATGTGGTCACTTCATGAACTTGACAGTGGCTTTTAATATGTGGTTTCAATCCTATACCATATATAGCCAGTTTCATTTCCTGAAAAGAACATGAACGGAAAAGCAGAAAACCTTTAAAATTATTGTACAGGTCTTTCTGTCTTTTCTTTCTCTTTTTTGTCTTTTATTGCTGCCTTCCCACACTAAAAAAAGACATTTATTAAATTAGTACAGCATTAAAAAATGGATCTTTTCCCAAGGCTCTTGGATCATCAAGAATATAGGTTGCTGCTTTGAAACTCACACACCAACTTGGCAGCACAGCACGGAATCGCAGCATTTTGTTTGAGTATGGTATACATACATGGATACACATTATTCCTCTGCACATGGCTCCAGGGGTCGTGGTTCAAGCCCAGCAGTGAGCACAGTGAGGTATGCGCCACAGCCCTGTGCACTGGTATTGCAGGACCTCAGCTGTCCATGGCCATCAACAGTCACAGCCCCACGGGAAGCAGAGCAGCGAGTAAAATCTTGCTTTCCAGATGAGTAAGTGAGACAGTGGTAGTTACAACACTAAAGCTCTTTGCTTTTTTTTCTGCAGAACTCAGGTCATCGCCTCATCTGTGTGGGCTCTGTGTCTCTCCCTAGGGGAGCCCACACCATTATCAGGGAGAAGAAGACTTTGCCACCCCAGGGCTCCTCTGTGCTCCTCTTCCCTCCTGGCTGTGGAGAAACACTCAGGCTTTCCAAGTACAGTTACAGAGGTCATAGTTAACTATCATCTTGGCACAGCCCCATGTCCCAGCAGCTCTGCCACTCCTCAAGGGCTGGGACAGTTGTTGGCCACACAGGCCAAGTGGACCTTAGGAAAGAAACTGCAGCAAAGACCAACAGCATACTGGGCTGCAGGAGCAGAAACAGCCAGGAGATCTCAGCACTCGTTAGACCCCATCCAGACACTGCATTTTGTTTTGGTACAAGAAACACAAGGACAAACCAGAGCAAGTGCAGTGGAGGAGCAGTGGTGACTTGCCCAAACAGAAGAGGCTTGGGAACTGGGCGTGTTCAGCGAGGGCAAGAGATGGCTTTGAGGGATGCAGCAGCAGCCCCAGCAGCTGCAGGGAGGTCACTGGGAACACAGCCAACTTCACCAAAAGCAGGACTTGACCAAACAAAGTGATGAACAGCCCAGTCTGATCTCACAGCTGACCCACCCAAGATGCCTCTCAGCCTGTATTATCCTGCAGGCCATCTTCAAACTGCCACCAGTGCAAAGGCTTTGGAGGAAAGGGTGGATGATATCCCCCAAGTGAAAGAGTTAGAGAAACGACCACATCCAAGACCATGAAGGCCCAGAAGGCACCCCTAGGCACTGTGCCCATGTCCTCTCAGGACACAACAAACCCCAGTCCTGCATGCAGTCCCACAGCAGCCCACATGCAGCTGTTCATCTCAGCTGGGGTGCCAGTGGCCAAGGAACCTTCATCCACGTCCCATCTTCAGCACACACACGTCCATCCTTCTTCCCTGCTTATGTGCATAAATACACACACATAGTTACAGAACAAGCAGGATTCCCTAAGGTCCATGGCTAGGTCAATCAAAAAAGGGCTCTCCATATACTGGCCAAGGCTGCAGCCTCTACTCCACAGGATGGAGATGCCTCAAGAAGCCTTCCCTCTGCCCCACAAACTGCACAGCTCTGGTGCAGGATGACACAACTACACTGTCAACATGGTCACATCATCCTCTCCATCCCTTGTGTCAAAAAGAATGTTGGAAAAATGTCTTCCTTTCAGTCCAAATAGCCTATGTTGCTAAGGGACAGGAAATGTTCACAAGAAGATGAAAAGAGACTTTACAGACAGCACTACCAAGTTCCAGCCTTTTAGGAGGACCCATACAAACTACAAGGTAACTGTCACATGTGCTGGGTGGGCAGAAAAGGAGAGGCTCATCTTCTCACCCCAGGTCACCAAGAAAGTCAGTGGCAGAGCCATAAATCAACTTCCTCCCCACTATCCCTGAGTTCGGATGCTCCCCATCCTCTTAATGCATCTGTTTGATAACCAAGCTGTGCTAGCAGGTAAAGCTGCCCTCCACATGTTGCACATAACCACACTTCTCTTTGGAGATTGTTGCTTAAGGGATGCCAGCTCCCCACCAGAAGTCAGTCCTGATCAAATATCATCTTTCAAAAATGCAAATTTGCATCTGCATTAAGAAACCCACCCCGTTTCAATAGTATGCTCACCAAAGTGTTTTGAGATGTGGTCTTGTCTCACAGGAACTTAGAGGTTCTAAGGGTTTATCCACACGTGAGTTTTTTTGTACTTGGAAGTGAGACCAGCAAGCATTTTTACACCTACCTATTCAAAGAGTTTTATTTTCAGTACAAAGAGGGTATCAGACCACTCAGTTTCAACTTCTGCTGAAATTCCTGTGTGACCCAGGACAGCTCATTTCAAGCAGTTCTGAGTCCTCATGGTCACTTGTGCTAAACTAAATTTCTGTAACTGAACCCATACCAATGTCTGCATAAATCAGCAAGAAAACCACAGCTTCAGTCAAAGTTAGTACTTTTGTACAGAAATAAAGACTGAAAAACCCCATCTCCAGCTTCTCATTGATAGGTAAGTTCTTGAAGCCAGATATACCTTCAGAAACAGCTTCCCAAGTATAAAAGCACACTGCAACACCCTCTCCTCTTTCCACCCTCCCATTCCTCCACTCTTTGAGCAAGGCTGCAGGGCAATACTTTGCAACTTTGTTTGCCAAAGGAGAAGGATACTTTCTGTCTGGGAAGCCGGGAAGACTGTGCTGGAGCAGAGCAGACCCCGGGCATGCAATTACCCAGGCAGCAGCAACAATATGTTAATTCACTAGATCACTCTGAAATGAAGCACAGTGCAAGTCCCTGGAAAAAGTGAAAAGGAGCTTGTTAAGGAAACTGTGTGAAGGCCTTGTGCACAGCAGTCCCTTGGAGTCCAGACAAGGATGGACTTTGCACAGACATCATTTTTAGACCTGGACTGGCAGCCAGCACGCCTGCTCTTCCCACCGCAGGGCATCCAACAGGAATGACGGGAACTATGCTCAAGGTTGACAAGGGACATTGGGCAAAATTCTTATTTTTAAAAGCTGCAGAAACATGCATCAGTCCCTAAAAGGGGCACCTGCAGAGCACTCATCCAGGACAGATCACAATCATAATGCCATGCACACTCTGTCTGTGTCCAGAGATTTCTCACACTTTCAGGAGAGCAGTAAGCAGTCTCCTCCTTGGTGTCTGCAGCTGCCGAGTTCACATCCCAAGCTCAGCTCCTCTATTCAGCTGCCCAGAACTCCTTAGGTAACTCCTGTCCTCCAACAACAAACAACAAAGCCAACATAGCAAGGAGTGGAGAAACAGACTGAAATGGACCTTTGGTGAATTTGTTATGAGAAGTCAAAGCCCTCGAAGGTCTGCACTGACTGGTGATCCTGGTGCATCACCCTTCTCCTACTGACTAGGAGTGTTTTCCTCTAACACCCAGACAGAAACTATGGCCTTGTGACAGCATCATGACAGAAGTAGTCTTGCACTCCTAAATCAGAAGGGGTGCCTTGCTGCAGGCAGGAAAACTGGCTTCTCTGCTAGGGAAAAGGGACAGAAGAAGAGTCACAAAGATCTCTGCTACCTCCCTATGCTGGACAGACTGCCCACCTGCGTACTATGAATGCAGATTCTAGATATCACAAACCTCCTTGAGGAGCAAGCAATGATTTCATCAAAGGCAAGGGCAGCTTTAAACTTGCATAGCCTCTTGTAGAGAACTTTCTGTTGTAATCCATATATAGAATAAACTCACCAAGAGGAAGAGTTGCACACCAAAGCTCTTTCTGCATAGGGCTGTTGACCAGTGAACTGATACACTGAGGTCAGAGGCTCATCTGTGCCGACACACTTCTTGAGGAATGAGAGTGTGGCTTTCATGCAAAAATACGGCTGTTACCCTGAGGAGCAGGGGGCAACCAGTTTAATGCCAAGAAGTTTAAATTCAGTACTTACATTGCACCAAAACTCCTGGGTTGCTGCAGAAATAGGATGAACAGCAGCAAACATCTGGAGAAAGTCTTCTGCTACGCACTGGCTCTTTTGGAGACAGTTTTTTGAGTGCAAGACTAAGACAAATCTTGTTTAAAAATGCATCTGTTTTGTACAGATTGAGTTTTGCTCTCCAAGGAGATGGGAAACGTAAAACACAAAACTGAGCTGCAAAGACAACAGTGCCTAGCCATGAGCCCTGGCCTTTGCAGAATTCTTGATGGCTGTACCTAAATGGGAGCACTTCGCTGCCAGATGACGTGTCCCAGACGAGATGACTTTCCTGAAAAGCACTAACACGCGGTTAAAAGCTCAGTTCAGACAAGCAGCGAAACAAGTCTGTTTTCTGGTTTTTGAGCTGAATATTCAACACTTTTCATGTTTGCTCTCTCACAGGTTATCTAGGCTGCACAATCAGCAAAACTGCAAAAACACTTGCTGGGGCTCAGCTACCAGGCAGTCTGTAATGGAGCTGTTCTGGAGGAAAACAGAAGTGTTATTGTGCTCACGGCTGCCCCAATACAATTAGTCATATGTGATGGAGAGATACGCATCCTCACAGAGCTCTTACTGCCTTGTCAACAGTATGAAGTCAAAATGAAAACATCCTAACTACCAACAACCAACCTGAAAGCTGAATCATGAACCCTGAAAGCAGCCTCAATGCTACAAAGAGATTTCTTCTCTGCAGAAGAAGACAGCTGGATTCCTTCCA